TTTTCTTCTCGACTAAAACTGTAGAGTTTACAGCTCTATGGGTAAACTTATCTACATACTAGGGCTGCACGATTTTGCATAAAATGAGAATCACGATTTTTTGGCTTAGAATTGAGATCACGATTCTCTCACGATTTTCTTTTCCAGTATAAATATTTATTGCACTTATTAACTGCACATCAACTTCGTAACAGTTGAGACTGAACATAAAAACAATAAATAAACATAAAAACAACAAATGTCTCACGTTTTGTTGTTGCCGCAAAATGTTGTACTGCTTGAAATTCCGTCTCCACCGTTGCTCGACACTGCGTGTATAGAGCAGGTAGTGCAACAATAGAAAAATAGTTGCGGGACGGCACTGTGTAGCGTTTGTCTAGGGTGTTGATCATTTTCCTAAATCCCTCGATTTGCACAGTGTTGATGGGAGCCATATCTTTGGTCAGGTGATAAGTGATAGCCTCTGTGATTTCTTTGTGCCTGCGGAAGTTCGACGTGTATAGGGAAGCGCTGTATAAGGTTCCCGTTATTGATGTTTGGGTGGTTGTCCGGGACAGATTTTCTCCTGTCACTTTCTCGTCATCCCTGACGTGCTCTCCGTTGTTTTTTTTCTGCTAATTTTAGCATCACACCACGGCTTCTGTATCAGGTGGTATAAGGCTCCGCCCTTGTCATTTATTGAGCAGGAAGAGTGAGCGCTTGTTTTCATGGAGATTACGTCCCGGATCAAAATGCGGTACAATCGTCGTTGTCTTTTTTTCTTTTTTTTTTTAAATCGTTGTCATTTGGAAATGAGATCGCACATAAGTATGAATCGAGATCGCGATTTTCTAACGATTAATCGTGCAGCCCTACTACATACTAGCAAGTATTCCTAACAGAGTATTAACTGAAAATCTCTCAGTAATGTTGAATGAAAGGTACACTGAAACTGAGTTACAACTCAAGCTAAGTGAGTGTAAATGTAAAAAAGTATAATCAGTATAATTGGTTACATTCACAGCTACTTGCGCTATTATTTTTTAAGTGTCGCTACCGAGACCAGGACCCAAGTGAAGTAATATAAACATGAATGTCACTTAAAGATACAACGTTGAAATTTAAGTACAGCTAAAAATCATGAATGAACAGGCTGACTTTACTTTTACTTTATGCATTTTTTAAACATATAAAAATGTAAGTACTGTATTTTTACAAAGAATGATTATATTGTTTGTATCCAGATCTACGTAATACTAACCAAAAGTGAACCATAGCTTTTAAATGTGATCATGAGGTGTACTTTTCAAAGCACATTAGACAGCCTACTGTACCTGACCTCCTGAGTCCATCTTCTCAAATGCAAAAATAGGAACCAAATGACTGCACTGCATACAGTTTACGGCCACAGAAATAACTAATTTCACTGTAACAGCAAAATCTGCATACTCACTGCTTTGACACAACAGAGCAACTCTGGACTAGAACTGCAGTTCAAGTTTATAAAGGACAGATTTAAAAGGGGATGGTCAAACTTAAAAGCCGAGCTCTCCTGATATTCCTAAAATGTAACTCAAAAACATCTTTCATCAGACCTCCCCTGCCTCATTCTTACACACCCAGCACCTCCAGTTTGCAAGCCATGCTTTTTTTTATTATTGATTTTCCAGTTTTATGACCATGTAATAAAAACACTGACAAAGTTGTTTGGAAAAATATGGAAAACTTCCTCTTTATAAGATCAAACTGTGATGAAAATAAAGTCGGAAAAGTATTTTTCCTGTAGTGTTGTTTTGTCGTATAGAATCTATAGAAAATCAACGTTTTCACTGTTGTGTGAGTTTAAGCTTTACACAATTACACTCACACACAATCAAACCCTTTTGTTGTTATTAACAAAAGCAACGAATGTCCTTAATATTACTGGCTGTGGTTGAATTTAGAGTGGTCCGCTGCTATTGATACTACTACATAAAAGCAGAAGCTTAATGTATTCCACTTCTTTTATGACAAATTTATTAAGGATTTAAACAAACATCCAACACTTCTAACTTCTTATAATGGGTCTAATGTTTACAGCATTTCATCTTACACACTGTATTACAGCAGTGTGCGTGTGTGCGCGCGCAGCTGGTGAAGAAAGCCTGCAGACCATGAGCCTAAGTGACATATAACGCTAAGTGAACATAATGAAAAGTTGTCCTACTTACAGAGCAATTTACAGTTTAGGCATTGAGCAGATGCTCATACACACAGCGGTAAAATGAGTGAGCACTCCTCTAGCATCAATAGAGCCACACAAACTCAGAGCGCTGTGAAAACAACAAATGCTACAACATTAAACACAAAATGTCAGTGTGGGAACATCACTGCTTTCAGCTGACACGTGGATGTGAACATTTAAGCATAATAATCATCTACTAGAGGCCTACTGCAACCCATGTGGAAACAACAATAACTGCAAAATGGTCACAGTTACTAATAGCACCATGTTTCATGAGTTTTTATATGTTTAGCTTTATTCAAAGAGACGTCGGGGAAATTAAGCAGCAAAAAAGCCAACATAACATGCAAGTCAGGCGGTATCTGCTAAAGCCACGTTTTTCCTCAGTGTGCATCTCGGCTTATTGAAGTGCATTTCCAGTATTGGCAATCAAAACTCCTCTCGACACACAAATAGGTCATTATATAATCGCAGACCACCAAAAAAACAAAACAAAAAAACCCAAAAAAACGCAGACCACCCAGTAGCTTAAGTTAGCGTTACCACTAGGACAACCAACAGAGAGAGTTTGGATTAGGGCTGCTCGATTATGGCAAAAATGATAATCACGATTATTTTCACTGAAATTGAGATCTCGATTATTTGACGATATTTATTTAACCCTTACGACCTACTATAGAACCAAGGCCGCCAGAGCTTATATTATTTTTTTACATGTTGTAGTGCCATTTGTGGGAGCATTTCAAGTTGCTATACAACT